AAAAAAGAAAGAAAGGAAGACAGACGAGAAGCAGATTTGTTACATGAGCTACAAAGAAAACAGAACATGGAGCACTCCCTTTTATTCCAATGAGCTCCAACAGTTCTGACAAGATTCTGTTTACCCAAAAAACACAAATCCCAACAAAAATCTGTTAGTTTTGCTGATTTTCAGCTGCAGTGGAAGGAAAACACACTAGAGAGCACAGACAAACCCAGAAACATCAGCATGTTCTGACAAAGTAGCTCCTCTGTTGTGTGCTGATTTCCTCTGAATTCAGGTCGGAGGGGTCACGGGTCACTGGGACAAGCCTGTTACCGGCCCGGAGACAGGTAATTCATGGATTCTCTCTCAGGTCCTCACAGACCCCCCGTTATGTTCAAACAATGACATCCCAGCTCATTTATGCAGTCTTCACACCTCACTCGGACTCGGTCTGACATGTTATTAACATGTTATTAACCTGGGAGATCAGAATTATCTGTGTGTGTTTATTACTCTTTACCAAGAGATCATACACTTGATACTATTTAAAATGTATTTATTTAATATAAAACAGTTTTAATGAGCTCCACATTTACGAGTTTCTCCTGTGACTGAATCGGTAATCAGAGTCTGATGTTCGCCACACACCCACCTGAGCAGGTGTCTGAAGCCTGTGGCTCGTCAGCGTCCGTAAAGCAGCGTCTTGTGACTCAGACCCGGGATGACATGAATGTGAGTAACTTTTTATACTAAAACTTACAGGAACTGGTAGATCTAGCAGCTCGCTCTTTCAAATGATTTAGCAACACGTGCCTGAAGCTTCTGCAGAACAACACTGATAACAGTAGCTGGGCTGCTTCTGCACTCACGCTTTATGAACATCACGAATCATAACTGCACTGTAAAAAACTGTTTTGGGCATACTTTTTTTTCTAAATTACATATTGAGACAAACTTGCTTAAAAGCAGAAGTTTAATCCTGGAGTTTCTAAGATATAGACTATTTGTTGCTGTAGTAACAGTCATCTTAATGTTCTTGTAACCAAGAGAAATAAGGACTTTATAAATAAAATGCGCTCAAATGAAAGAAAGCTTGGGTCTTTTTTGTACATTTAGGTCACATTTAACACGTATTTTTCCTTTTAAAGGCATGAACGTGAAACTTAATGTTTATTTATCTGAAAAATGTTACTTGTATTAATTATCTACAACATGTAGAACCGAAATTGCTTACTTTTATAGAAGAACGTAACACCACTGATTCTAATTTAACTCTTGTGATCAAAACTTTAATATCAACCTCTGTTAGCTCCCCAAAAATCAACAGAGAAATTCTGCTTTTTAGAAAAAAAACAAGTCTTTGTGTTAGCTAAAAACATTTGGCAGCACAATTGTGTCGGTTCGCGTTGCACAAGCTGCTCTTTTCACTGAGAGCAGGTGAAGTCGTCTCTTTGTCTGAGTGAATTATTCACAACCCAAAGGTCAAAAGGGTCAGCAAATCCCTTCAACAGATGCACCTCAAGGAGGCAGGGCAGGGTTAAGGGATTAAACACCGGTGTTAGCGTGTCCACTCACTGGAATTGTTTGCATTCCTCCCAGAAACCGGCAGAGACCGTGGCAAGCTAGCCTTTTAGCTAGAAACGGCTTCAAATACCAAACAGATAGAAGCTATTGATGCAGTTTAGGAGTTGTTTTGGTGTTATGGTCTATGTCAAAAAACAATTAATTAATTAAAAGTAGCTAGTGAGCTTGGTGAGGATCTGGAAAGGAGCTCTCCGGGATCCAGTGTGATCCCAGACCAGTCTAGAGATTTAATCCCTCCAGTGTGTCCCAGTTTGGCCCCGGGGCCTCCTCATGCCCCGACTACCTCCCCCAGGAGACGTCTAAGGGGGTTTCTCAACTGCACGCCTAAACTCCTCCACCCGAGGCACGGATTTCTGTCTGTTAAAGTGTTTTACCAGCCTGAGGAGTGTAATGGGAAAAATCAGAAGTTTCAATCTTCTCTTCCGCTGTTGTGATTAAAGTTGATGCGTATTGTGAAGGGGATTTCTACCTTGTGACCCACTGACTTATGACCTATTTCTCGTCGGCCTGATTAAGCTCCACGTCTCCATGTCACATGAGTAAAAGGTCAGAATCTACAAATAAAATACCCACTGTTACCTCTAGTTTCAGAGCGTTTTTGGAAACTTATTTCCACTAAATGTGTTCGAATTAAGCTGTCCGCATTTAGAGGTGAGCTGCACTTCTGTAGTGAAACACAAAATACATTGTGTCTTTTAGGAAGTAAGGGTATGAAGATAGTTCTTTTTGCAGCTGGAATCAGGGTTGTTGCTAGCTATTTTGGTGCCCTAAGCACAAAGGCTTCGTGGTGCCCCTCCCCCACCCCCACCCACCCTGCAGAAAAAACAACACAATAACACAGCATGTGCAAGCGCTTCGCCTTACATTATCTTTAATTCTCTTGTATGCACAAACTGCTTATTATTTACAAAAGTAGGATTGATATTTACATAACATAACATACTCAACACAGGAGCTCCATATTGTTATTATTTAGAACTATGCAACGGATCCACACACCACAAGCACCGGTTGTGGCACATGTGTTTCTCCAATGTAATTTTCAGATGCTTTTTCAGATCCAGGACTCACTCTGCCTTCAGAAGTGCTGGCTGTGGGCTGTGCTCGGTCTGATCCTGGTCAGGGCTGGGTGATGTTGTAGAAGGTTCAGACTTGATGGCTGACAACTGATCTTGAGCTCTTAAACTGCTGGTGGAGGGCTGATCTGAACTTTTGGCTTGAGCTCCTCCTTGAATGTACTTGTTCATTGAGCCTGCATTCAAACACAAAAAGATAATTTGTCATATTCATTCTACAATAAGATAAAAGTTTTAAACCATGGTAAAAAAAATACTGCAATAGATTATTTATAGGTTTATATTGGCTTATAAATCACTGGCATGTGACATGACTAAATTCAAAACTATTTAACCTTTATTAAGAACTAGAGAGGCACAATACACACATTTTATACACAACTAGAAAATTCTGAATAGGAAGGGAGGAGGTTAGCATAATGGACTTTTTTCTTCAAATTATACCATCAGCAGCTGATGTTCCCCTTGGCCCGTAAATGTTTATGAAATATAAATATCAACATAGAGCAAATACCTAATTTGAATATAGGTTTGTCTAATTTTTCATTTTAAATCTCAGTTACATAGCCTATAGGCCACATAGGCTATTTAATAATGATATAAATCATGTCCATAGTTAACTCATGATTAATCACAAACAGCCGCTTATTTAAAAATAAAACTTCTTGCTTTATCTTGACGGTGTTTTTGTCCTTCCTGTTTTTGTGATATTTAAGTATTTGGGTGGACAAATATGATTCATTTGTTTATTTCTGTTTCAAAACAGCACAGATGGGCCTATCTGACCTCACAGAGGAAACTTTATTTTACTTGAGAAAGATGTTTTAAGATCAACTTATTAAAACAAAAAAATATTCAAACTCTTCAAGTTTTTTTTTAAATGAACAACCTTTAACACTGTTCAGGCTTATTTTTTGATGCGTCGCATGAACAGGCTGAATAAAAGGATATTTCCCTTTGTTGCATTTAACTATTTCTTCTTCTTTAAAGAAGTGCTGATTCAGAAGAGAATAACTGCATTTAGGAGGATGATGACTTGCTATGTTTTTTTTCTCCAGCAGTAAAAAAGCTCTAAAGCTTCTCTGAGTTTCTCTCCCTCACAGCCTCTCTCACTCAGCTACTAATGAACGCCCGGTAGGCGGACGGGAGGCTGCGGGACAGAGTGGCGCATTATACTTTTAACAGACTGGAGAAGCAGAGAACGAAATCTGCCCAAACCACGCAGATAGAGTCAAAATGTTAAATGTACGGAAGCAGAGTGCGAAAAACACCAAATAAAAGTCCTGAAAAGCAGCATGCTTACCAAACTTGGCAAAATTTGACCATAAACAGATGAATTAACAGCAGTAACAAGTCCAAATTTAAGCTAGGTCAAACGACCCTCTGAACTTGACCACACGTGTTTAGAATTACGAATAGATTAAAAAAAATTAAGAATTTCCATTTAAATACTTGTCTTACCTGCATTCGAGCAACAGCATCATCCCGTTGTTTCTTCTTTTGTCTATTTACTGCCCTGGACTCCTGCAGCCTTTTCGGGGAATGCATGCATGATGTTCTTCTTTTTGCAAGAAGTCAAAAAATAATCATTTGCTTCAGACGGATTATCTCACCCTTTAATAATAAAGAAAAAGTTCCCAGCAGACGAGCAGGACAGAGCCTTGATCTGTAGCTTCATTCACTCATGCTAGCGGGATTGTGCTTCAGCTGGTGTAATGTGTCTAAGTTAGCTTAGATCAAAGAATGCTGTCAAATTCAGCTAACTGGGACTCATGTGCAACTCAGAAATCCAGGAAGGTTAGCTAAAATGCTAAAAACAGACGTGTCTGGATTTTATTCCTTCACATGCTACATGTTACCAAACTGATGAGGTACGATAGTCTTTGATCCATTAAAGCTCTCCTTCATTCCTTTTTTCTATGAGTTTGCTGAATGCAGTGTAAGTTGTGTCTGGGGGAATAAAAGCTCTGGCCCTCCTGTTTCAGGAAGTAGAAGTTAATCAGAGGAGAGGATTTGGAGACTTACTCATCATCTCATGATGTTTGGACATCTCGCCAGCAATGCAACTCTTCTGCTGCCTTCACTCTGCAACACTGATGATTCATCTCCTCAAATCACACAAGCCTGAAGGAGTTCTGCCGTGTGGTGGAGCTGCTAATGCTAATGGTTAGCTTCAAAGGGGTAAAACGTAAACCGCTGGTTGCTCCTGCTGTTATGTGTGAGACAGCCATGTTGGATTCTGTGATTAGGGTTAACCAGCAACTTTTTTCCTCTTTCACGCTCAAAACTAGTCTCTTCTGAGGAACAATGAAACACACCAGAAGCCCAGAAGGATGCTACATGCTAAACAACCTATTGTGAGTTTGGAGCAAAAGCAGAAATGTCCTGCTTACTCTTTAATAAACAGCAAAGATTATCTCGGACACATTAGCATGAGACAGGCCGCATCACACAGACACCCCGGCTTTATAAAATTGGCATTTAAGAACACATTGACAAATAAATGGCACTGGAAGATGGAGAATACAGAAGTTGAGTAGTAAAAATGTACATCGTCACTTATATCAATAAAAACAAGTTTGAGGCCAGATACTGTCCTTGGAGATGAAACCATCACTACAGTGTTCTCTGGTCTCTGAGTCCACTTGGTCCTTGTTCTGAGCGGATTAGAAGGTGACTGAGCTGCCAGCAGAAACACAGCCCAGGAGAAATGTATGGAATCACTGAAGATCACAACTGACTCTGAAATGACAAAAGTGCTGAAAATGTCTTTGTGCCTTATTTGTTCAGACATTTGTGAGCCGGCAGCGACAGAGCCAGACTGAGGAAGATGAAGAGCCTGATCAGGGCATTGTCAGCCTTCTTCAAAGTCTGCCTCACACACCACACCTGAGTAAAGAGGAGGTACTTTTGAATGCAAATGGAACTCGAGTCGTCTGATTAGTTTGGACACAAAAGTCGACCCAGGATTAATGACAGACACCCAGAACAAAAACAAAGTCTCCTTTCTTAATTACATAAAACATATCAGAATGAAAACATTAGCATTCGTTTCTCTTTCCTTTGGTAAAAGGTCAGACAGACACATCAGAAAAATACTGTTTTCATGAGAACGTTTAGAAACTGTAAACTCTGGTCCGTAGCTCTCCGCGGTTTGGCAGATGTCCTGGGTTCTATTCTTAGAGGAAGTAAAAATACCCACGCAAACTGAAACAGAATAAGTCTGCATGACTTTATCACCTGGTCACTCCAGGTGACGCGTTCTAGCGTCTTGTTCAAGTCCCATCAGTCATTCGTATTGGCTTTAATATTTTTTTTTTGTTTTCCCTGGTAATGAATACATTCTCCCTTCTTCCTTGGAGTCCGTGTTCAAAGTGGGTCACAGGAAAAGATCCAGACTGCTGGAGGACATGGCTGCACACCTGTGTGCCGTGTTCACATCCAGGGTGGGAAGAGGGGCAGCTAGAATGTTACTGTTGCAGTGCCCTTGTTTTGAAAAGTCATTGTCTGGATGCTTGAAAGGATTTTCCTCTGATGTCCAGCTAAAGTCACGCCCATGTGCAGCAGATCCCTGAACAAACAAAAGAAAACAACATTTAGACTGGATAGAATAACAACTGAGGACGTGGATATGGGAATTTTTACTTTTATTTGAGATCAAATGACCGAGAAAAAAAAAGCATAACTAGAGATGATTAGACAGGAACTGACTGTGTGGTGATCTGGCCCAGCTGATCTATGGAGTTAAGGCCTGCCTGCAGGAAGCTGTCCTCATAGCGCTCCATCTTGATGGCTCTCAGCCATTCCCCAATGGAAGAGCACGGCGAGAGGGATAAAGGTGCACGCTGGTCCAGCAGGGGGTAGGACGGCCTGGGGGTCAGAGTCCACAAACAAAGCAAAAGGCTCATGTTTACTGTCACAAAACAGCAGAGAGCAACTTAAATGCATCCTCCAGCTACGAGAGGAGGTCTGAGCTGAGGCTGGGTGACTGACTGGGACAAACAATGGGATTTGTCAGAGGTGGAGTGTCTCCAGCTCTAAGCAACCAGCTGACAGGCGGAATGTGAATAAAGGGAAATGGGCACAGCAAGCTCCTGACAGGTCACAGCAGGAATCTCAGCGTGGACAGGAGGAGGTTAATGTCTGACCTGCAACAGGCAGAACTTTAAATGGACCCCGAGAAAGAGACATTAAAGCTCCTTTCAAACGGGGGACGCAAATATTGCTGGCATCATCGGAGTGTTTACGTGACTGTCTGTCACAACGACACAGAGATATTCATCAGAGTGACAGTAATGGTCCTGATGCTGTCGTTTAGTCTCGCTAACTAGTGATGGATGGGAGTGGACATGACATCAGACGCTACACAGGATCCGCTGACAGCACGTCTTTTCTACATGTAGCCTGAGAAAATGTAAACTTGTGTAAGTTAATTTGGCTCTGATTGGTCTTTCTCCTGCACTTAAAGTAGCAACGTCTAGTTTTATGAACTAATGGGACTATATTAGATTTAAAAAAAAAACACAGAGATTCTCTGATGTTTTACATTTGCAAGAAATTATTTTATATTATTACAAAACCATGAACATGCAAGTAAAAAAGTCAAACAGATTTGAAGCACCAATCTGGAGCTTTCTCTCTTTCAGCGAATATGTGGGATGTTTTAGAAATGAAAAAAAGTGATGGTCTGTTCCATCATAAAATGGATGAATCATGTCTTGGTTTTTTATCTAAGCCCACCCCCCATCCCAATGAGCCCAATGGGATTTGAGTGCTGCTCAGAATTAGCCAATAGCGTGAGACATCCGCTCACGTCAATCACAGAGAGTGTGTGTTTGCTGACGTACCTAGACTGATGCAGAGCTGGCGACATTTCTTAAACACAAGTAAGCCTTTAAAATATGCATGTGAATAAACAGCATATTGTGAGAATAATCATTGTAAAATGACGGGTTTTGGCGCTGCTGGCTGGCTAGGGGTGCGGAGTAGGGAGGGGCTTAGGATGTGATACATTTTTCAGCCTCTAGATGGTGCCCTCTGAGGAAAAACTCTGGATTGTTGCTTTAAAATCTGACATTTGTGAGAAAAAAAATCCGCTTACTGAAATTAAAATCACATATCTGCAAACTCTTCTTGTAAATGTGAGCCTTTCATCATGAAAATAACATTTTTCTTGCACATGTAAGAGTTTCCAACATGAGAGAATATGATTTTTTTCCCCAGTTCTGCTTCACACTGGCCCCAGTGTGCCATCTCGTCATCCAATAGACAAGCAAACCCGCTCTGGCTACATGGAGTGTTTACGAGTTCTTCTATTTTTATGTCGTACAGGGATGAGAGGAAGCAGCGTGACCGTAAAGAGGAGCAGGGTGACACTGGGACCATTTAACGTGGTTTGGTCCCGTTCGTTTGGCGCAGCTGCCAGGAACCACAACATGTCGACACTTCATCTACAGCAGCATAAATCAGGCGAGTTTGAACTAGGCTGCTGGTGGCCGAGTGTCTAAACGTGATCTATAAAAGCACGGATGTGTTGCTGATGGTGATGCAGGAACACTGAAACGTCTGACCCAATAGCAGCTCTATTGCTTCCTGTATGAAAAATAGGCCAGAGATTAGCTGACTCATGCCGTATTCATCATTTCACACAGGAAGTCGGCTTCTTACAGGTGATTCTCAACATGTTATATCCGGTTTTTCTACAATTAAATCTTTTCACTCTTACCCTCCGGCTTCCTGAGCAACTATTTTCAGCGACGCGGGGTTGCGGATGAGCTTGTCCAGAGCGCTAACGAGGTCTGCGAAGCGAGGGCGCGCAGAGCGGTCCTTCTGCCAGCAGTCCAGCATCAGCTGGTGCAGGTGGGTGGGGCAGTCGGGCGGCGGGGGCAGCCGGTAGTCCTGCTCTATGGCATTGATGACCTGACAGGGAGACAGATGATCGCTGTTCAAACAGGAGCTCCGATCAAATCATACCTGGATCCGCTCAGAGCAGCGAGGGCAAAAAACAGCAAGACAATAAGTGTTTTATAACTCCAGACTTTCTCAGACTGTTTTACATCTGAGAATATTTTCTATGAATTTTTAAGGAATACATTTATTTTCTGCGTTTTCCAGATGATGCTGGAAACATCTTTGAGTTAACAAAGAGACAGCTGGAACAAAGGTTTGGTATAAATAAAATTAAAAGATCTTCTCTTCTAATAACATGTCCTTAATTAAAGGTCTTAATAATAGCTTCAAAGTTTTAAGAACAAAATATTTATTCTGTGACATAATAGAAAAAATAGAGTAAAATAGAAATCTGTGTTTGCTGCAGGTCAGAGCTGCTAGGAATAATTTGATGTTCTCTATTCTGCATGCTAAAACATTTCCCTGGTTTCAAACAATAACATAAAAAAAAGAAAATTTAGCACTTTCTTTATTTTATTTTACTGATTGAAACCAGGACAATTAGTTTGAATCCTTTTCTGTTATTTAGACAGGAGAACCAGCTCTTCCTCTCTGAAGCTAAACTTTTGATCTGAACATGATAAACGTTAGCCGCTGACTAACTGCAGCTCTGGTCTGAACTCACATCCTGATTGCTCATGTCCCAGTAGGGTCTCTCTCCAAAAGACATGACCTCCCACATCACAATGCCATAACTCCACACATCTGAGGCTGAGGTAAACTTTCTGAAGGCTATGGCCTCCGGAGCTGTCCAGCGGATGGGAATCTTCCCTCCCTGCACAGAAAAGTAAACAATCAGCTCCGCAAAACGTCACATAAATTTGGGGAAACTTTACAACCAATGTATAAACACCTTGACAAATGTATTGCATGTGAGTTGAATTGAAGTGGGCTGCTGTCTCACCAGAGAGCTGGTGTACGTGGGGTCAGAGGAGTTCTCCTGCAGGAAGCGCGACAAGCCGAAGTCGGAGACCTTACACACCAGGTTGCTGTTGATCAGGATGTTGCGGGCAGCCAGGTCTCTGTGGACGTAGCTCATCTCCGCCAGGTACTTCATCCCAGAGGCGATGCCACGCAACATCCCCACCAGCTGGATGGGAGTGAACTGACTGTCATTCAGCTGCAGAGTCAACAAGGAGAAAAAAATTCTGTCAACATAGGAGAGACATGACACCGTCTGGTATTCAGGGAGAGTTCTCCTGTCACACAGACCCGAAGGAAAGAGTCCAGCGCTCCATTCTCCATGAACTCCGTCAGGATCATGACTGGACAGCTGGCAGTGATGATTCCCTCCAGGTGGATGATGTTGGGGTGCTGGAACTGTCCCATGATGGAGGCCTCGGACAGGAAGTCCCTTCTCTGCTTGTCCGTGTAGCCTCCTTTCAGCGTCTTAATGGCTACGTAGTTTTCTTTCTTCCCTGGGATTTTCAGCCGTCCTCGACACACCTCCCCGAACTCGCCTGCAGACACACACACACACACACACACATTACAGCTGCTTTCTGCCACATTATGAGCATGACCGCTGAATTTAGCAAATGTAAAGTTAGCTCGCAGCAAGAGCTGCCCTTTTGTTTAAATGAGGAGCAACAAAGGTAGGCAACACATTTATCAGTTAATTGCTTTATTTCTGCAACTATATTGAATTAAGTGGGATAAAGAAGAGTCCAGGCGAGGTTATTAAATGACTCTCATTCAGTTTAACAGGGTAAATTAAATATTTAATAATGTTCTCTTTAAAGTGAACAATCAGACGCAAAAACAATCCAAATGAAATGAAACAGAAACCGAATCAGAGTCCACACATGTGGGAAAGCTTGTGAACGGGGCGTACCGGCACCGATAACCTCCTCTATCTTGACAAAGGAGACATCAATTTCCTTGGCAAACTCTCGCACCGCCTCATTAGGGTCCTCGTAGGTGAAAGGGTCGATGTAGACCTTGACCCCTGAGAGACACAGACAAAAAGAGTCGTGGGAAAGGAAAGACATTTTAGAGGACTACGAGCCGTTGGACGGCATCAGAACGGACTTTTCAGACGTGAACTGGTGGTAAATCAGTTGAGGCACAGGGTGTGTGACCTGAATGGGTTACCTTGGCCAGAGAAGTACTGGCTGCTTTTGTCGCTCAGATCCGGATCTTTGACTCGACTGTGGCGGCTGCAGGTGGAGACAGGTCGGTAGAAATAGAGCAAGATTAGAGATGAATTCAGACCTAATTTATAAATGTCTAATGGGTCTGGAGCACATCCACAATCACACAGTAAGATGGAGCCGATTCTCACTCATCTATAGCTTATTTAACCCCTAACGTCACTTATCTCTTGTTGAGGACATTAAAGGGTTAAAAGAAGGAAAATGACTGGATTGTTTTGACTTGCTGGTAGGTTGATTATTAAATAATAAGGCAATCTTGTGATTTTACACTAATAAATAAGATTCATCTTTAAAATGCGTTTAATAAACAGGATTAAAACCGAAGACCACTGCTTGTCAACTCGTTTGAGAAAGCCTGTTTTCTACAGACCTTGAGCTCGAGACCCTCTCTGTGTCACAAAGTGATAAAACATCTATTTAAAATGAACTCCCATCAATTTTCTTTGGTTTAGTTTTGGCTAACTTGTTTTGAAAGGCTTCTGCTGGCCTCCAACAATCCTCGGAAACCTTAAAGACACAATACACGACGACTTGTTGTAGCGGTAACATCCGAGCCAACCCCTACGGGTCCTGCTCTTTGACACAAGCGGCTCCATTATGATTCTGCTGGCGCAAACTCATCCCTAAGACCATGACAAGCCCGTAGCTACTGGATCGCTGCCATCCTCCATTCCTTTTCCTCTCCCACTTCATAAGCCTAAAATAGCAATAAAGCACCACCCTCAGTTAGTGCCAGATCTGGGCCTCAGTGGCTGGTGTGTGTGTGTGCGTGCGTGTGTGTGTGTGTGCCACAAGGTCAGAGCTATTGTTCTCCTGTCCTGTGGAAACAGGGCTGGGACGCCTGCATCCTGTCATTCCCTGCCCTCTACCTCTATCGTCATCTCTCTTTCTCTCTCTCATCCAAATGCATGCACTCTCTCTCTCTCTCTCTCTCTCTCGCCCGTGATGGCATCCAGCACTATTTACTCAAACAATGAAGCCTAGGGAAAGCGTTCTAATGAGCAGGGTAGCTTTTAGCTGTGTAAGCGAAAGAAATCAAGAGCGTCTGAACTGTTGGACAAGAGCAGGAGAAAAACAAAGGCGCGTATCACATGGTGCAAACCCATCGTTGATAAGATACGATATGTCTAAACAGGAGAACAAAGGGGTGCAAAGATGTAAAATTGGGGTCATGATTGTTATTGGTTTTCGATTTCTCCCTCTTTTCTTCCTGGTTTCCTGTTGTTTTGTCAGCTTCTTTCCCCCGTAAATCTGTCCTCTGCTCTGCCTCTTTTCCTTTTCCCTTGTTCTCACCGTATGCAGTAGGCGGCCACAAAGACGAAAATGACAAGCAGCAGCATCCCAACAGCGATAAGGATGCCAGGTACCAAGAACTGAGAGGCAGAGTCATGTCCTGGGAGACAAAGGAGACAGAGACAAAGAAAGCAAGGAAGTTAAAGAAAAATGGAGGCAACAACCTAAAAGGGGATTTACATTTTGTTTAACAGAAGCTCAAAACGAGGACACCACCTCACAGGCGGGAATTAATAACAAGAACTGTGCAGGGATTGAATCTGCTGATAAGAATCTGTAAAAAAAATCCTGGGAAAGAAAAGGGAGTTGCAAGCGTGAGACTTTTCCTGAAGAACAAACAGAACGATTTTACCATCAGGCAGGGTGCGGAAGACAGCTGCAGGACTGAAGCTGCTGTAACCAGCCAGGGTGCGCGCCCGGACCTGCACCTCGTACTGAGTGGCCCTGCGGAGGTCTGTCAGCACGGCCTGGCTTCTGTTACTCTCTGTGTAGAAACACTGACTCTCACTACGCCTCTCCTGCCAAAAGAAAACTGGATCTGTCAGACTGGAATTAAAAAAACAATCACAACACAGTAAGTAGGTCAAAGCACCACGATCACATGAAGGCAATTCATGATCTGTAATTAAACAGTTCATCTGTAGATATTAAATGAGCTGAAAAGAGAATTTCTAAAGGCTGCTTGGCTCCTTTAAGGTGATTCCTGTTTGAATTCACCTGACCTTCATTTCTCTTACTGAGGCTTTCATAACAGCACCCAGGGAGCTCTCTAATCCTGAACCAGCAAACAAAAACATGGAATCTGAATGCTAATGAGTTAGAGATGTGCTGTGGTTACCTTCTCACAGTAGCGGAGCTCATACTGCAGAATGTTGTAATGTGGCTGGGCTGGGACAGACCAGTGCAGAGTCAGGCTGCTCTCTGTGGACTCGCTCTTCCAAGTCACAGACCTCAGCGACGGCTCTGCAGACAGCACCAGAATCTCACGTCTGACACTAAATCCTGACTGTTCATCCACTTTAAAGCTCTTCCTCACATCTCACCTTCATGGTTGGTGGTGAAGTTGATGCTGTCGCTGGCAGGGTCCTTGGCGCTGCGGGAGGAAACCCCGTTGAGGGCCTGGATGGTGAAGATGTAGGTGGTGTGAGGCAGCAGGCCTCGCACCTCCACCCATTGGTCCAGGAGGCCATCCTGGGCGGGCTGGTAGCTGACGCTATCGCCACACGGGAGACACGACCCCTTGGCTGACCTGCATACCGAACACCTGACGGAGTAGCTGAGGTCCGTTCTGCCGCCATTGTCCAAAGGCTCGTTCCACTTCAGGGTGTGGGTGGTGCCGTTGCGATAGTGCTTGATTCTGCGTGGAGCGGAAGGAGGCTCTGCAGAAACAAAAGGAAACATAAGTTAAATGACTCCAGCAGAGCTGATACGCTTAAAATCAAAATGCTTCAGATGTTTGGAGGTGCATCAAAACCCCATAATACTGGTATGAAATTGAGGCCAACCCGGAAGTACCAAAAATTGCAGTTCCACTCTCATCCGCTGGGGGCTGGTGTCAGAAGCGAGCAAATCCTCATTGACTCCCATGTTAAAAATACCAATTTCACAGCAGAAATAAACATGTTTACAGCCTGGTACCAGAACATGTTTTAGGTTTAATAGATCTAGTTTACACTCATGACAGCTCTGAGGGGGGTGAATTTTTTTGTCACTTTTCTGTTTAAGTGTATTAAAAGCCTAAAATTCTGACTAAATAATGAGCATCAGACCCACGTGACCGCAGAGCTAGCTCCGGGGAAAGGCCTCAGCCTGAGCCTCGGCCTCGCCTGAAAAATGTTCCACCATTTTCAGTCCCTCATCTTTGACCATTAGTTTATTAGCGTGCATTTTTTTTGGATATTATTTGTGCAACTGTTTGATAAAATGACTTGCTGTGGCATTAATTGCACTAATAGAGCGTCCAAGGAGTCTCCACTTCATTTTTTTTCGGTAAGTAAAATTATATTTATGTATTTTAGGTCACTGCCGAGCTGAGCTTGGATTTTAACATGTACTGTTTAACCATGAAATTTAAATGCAATACGGTAAAACCCAATGCATTTAACATAATGCTGCACTTTAGAAAATGGGTTGAAATATGACATGTTGGTGGAGCTGGGTTCTGACTATCGGTATGGTCCCCTCCCCGCAGTTCGACGCATCTCTGATCGCCGCGGCGCCTGTCTGCTGTGCGGCTGCCGGTTTGTGGAGCTCTCGGAAGACCTCTGTGTTCCACCCGGTTTCACCCAGCGGTCAGCCCGGCGTATCTCTAACTCAAAAGCTCTGGTGTTGTGCACAGTTAACTCCGGTTGTAGCTACGTAGCTACCTCCGTTAGCTTAGATCCCACCTCCGCGTTAGCTTTGGGTTAGCTTGTAGCTACATCGCTTCAGTTCGACGGGTGTTGTCATTTGATCCCAGCCTTACAGCTCCACCCTCAGCTCCACCTCTTTTCCCTTTTTTGGAATTGTCTGGACTTGACGGAACCTGTGACACGGTCAAAATGGCGGTGGTAGCCACCTCCCATTTTAGCTCAAAAACTTATAATTGGAGTCTATGGACATGAAATGTCCAGTGTATATGTCGATGAGGTGCATGCGCATGGTCGGGGCTTTTATTATGAAGAATTGAAGGAAGTTATTTGAGTTGTGCCGTAGAATAACTAGGAATAACCAAAGACAGCAGCTGGTTTTATAGAAATCACATTTATGGCAATAATCAGGCGACATGATAAATGTCACAATGCAGATATTGTGATACTAGAAGCCAGATCATATTTGCAGTTTTTACGACTGAATTTAATTATTTAAAATTTGCTGCCACCTAGCAGTGGGAGTTTGAATTGCACCACACAAAAAGTAACAGTAAATGTTTGCATGTAAATTCTCATGTTTAAATATCATTTCGGTATCATTACATGAAATATTGCGATATCTCAATGTATCAATGTTTTCTCACAACCCTACCTAGAACCCTCGGTTACAATAATGATAAAAATGCTTTCATTGCCTGTTTTTGATATTTTTGTTTTCAAACAGGCTGTTGAGGTTATTATCGACATTTTGACTTTTTTCCCAAAACTTTCTGTTTTCTTCTCAGTGGCCCTAACACACAACGATACAGAACAGGAACAATTTTTAAGAGGCTATTTAATATACAGCCTGTTTTCTGAAACAAATGTAGAGAATCTAAAGATGACCGAAACGGTCATCTCTGGGACGTTAGAGTTCACTTTAAAGGTGCCAGAGAGAATTCTCCTTGGTTGATGTGAAAGTTTTTCAATGTTCTTGCAGCCCTTGTAGCTTTCTTGAGTTTAGCTCAATGTGCTGTTGCAATGATTTATGTATGCTGAATATCACTCATAGTTCTTTAACATATCTGAATAAAATAAATGAACAAATGAACAAATAAATATCTATTTTAACCTCAATGGAAATTTCAACAAGTAACATAATAATAATAATTATGATTGTTTACCTGTTGTATTGACTGTATCTACTTATTGACTAATTTTCCTTTAATAGTAAATATTATAATTATATATTGATGCTTAATAAATTCATTAAGATTTATTCCTAAAACTGCTCTACCCTCAATCAAACACACATCAGAGATGTATTAACCCTTTCAAAACAACTTTAACGTCAATAAATAACTCAGTAAAGCAGATAAAGGTGCTTTATATATATTTTCCGGTTTCAAGCAGCACTAAATCAGGCTCAGAAGCTGTATTTTCCCATGTTATAACCAACATTACAGGTGATACCTCATCATTGGACAGTAAAGGCTTTCAAAATGAGCAAGCAGTTATTATTAAACGTGTTAAAAGTGTGTCACACAAGTCCGTTCAGTGCTGATCTCTGATGTGTCGTTTCACTGCAGCTTTACCTTTTTATGACCCACACAAACCATCTGTTTACAAAAGCATAAGACACTGGATCCATTCTCTACGTGTAGTCACGAAGCAGAACAATGCTCTTGCATGGTTTTGCGTCACAGCAAGTGCATGTGCTGCAGAATTTAACTAGTACAATTACATTCATCCAAAAAGACGATAATGATCATCGTCTGAAAATTGTAAGAAGATAGCTATTGCCTCTAGCCAAGCATAACTAAACAGACGGACCACTACGGCTCTGTGAATCAGTATCATTTCCTGCCAAGGAGACAGAACTTTGTCACCAAGCCTGCGGGGTAATTTCACTGCTAATGGTGTTCTCATTGGAAACCCAAGTGGAACAACATCACACTCAATCAGAGGTTGTACAAATTCTGAATTCAAGATTTGAGAACGGCATTTTTTAAAAAGCATGTCTTGGTAATCAGAACTCACTCCAGTGGTATCAATAAAGCCGTGGCAGAAACATAAAACGCTTCTTTTCTGGGCTAGAGGCTTTTTAAACGTGCAGATGGCTCGGCTGGCCGGACATGCAAACTGAAAATATGTAATGTGAAGATTTGCAGCGACAATCAAAAACAACAACAGGGAATACCATTAAAACTGTCAAATGAGAATAATTAAGCTTTTGTAATTGAAGTTATCACTAATGAATAAAAGGTGTGGGGGCTTTCTCTGGTTGGTATTTAGATCACACCTGCAGAGTTAAAAACCTGATTTCACTTCCTCCTCGTGGCTGTTCCAAGAGTGGGCGCCTAATTAAAGAGTGCCTCTCATTCACACGTCCAGAATGTGTCTCCATTGAAATGCCTGAATCCACATGGAGGTGTCAATTAGGACTTCCAATCCTTCACTTTTGCGGGGAACCCCCCCCCCCCCCACCACCACCACCACCACCACCCCCACCCCCACCCCCAGGAACCTGTCACAAAGGACGAGCATCTCAAAGCTCAGCAGAGGGACAAAGGACACAAAGCAGCAGAGGGAATCCTGGGTAAACAACACCAGAGGCAGAGGAGGACTGAGTAAATGGTTGCTTGGTGCTCCCGTATTTATCAGCTGCCACCAAAAGGCCAAAGCGGGTCTATGTTTGTTAGCAAAACACCTTCTGAACCACTAGGTGGATTTTAATAAAACCGTCAGAATGTAATCAATGGTTGTTTATCTACAACCGGCTAACCTTTAAGTTGACTGGATTCAAGATGGCGGACAAAGCAAAAACAAAAAAGGATATAAATTGGTCAGGTTTACAGTTAAGTTAGTTGTTTATAATGTGAGACAGTTTACATGAGATCCTGCAGGAAACACCTATGAAGACAACTACAACTCCATCCCTCAACATCTTGGTTTAAATCTCAGGTGGTCTACATTCCTTCTGGAAACGCCAGGCTGTTAACTGAATGTAATTTAACGAATGTTTGAAGGCCTCATTCACTGAGAGACTGTCACACTTGTTCTTTTGAAATACGATTGGTCATTGTGAGTTTCACATGCGTGCTGAACGAGAAAATGGTCTTCTAACCCCACCGTCTGCATTAGCCGCAGAAGTTAAATATTCAGGGGAAAGCTCGGGTCTAATCTACATCTCACAGTGAGTTTGCACCTTAGTTTGCGACTGTGGAAGGCTGTTGCTGGGTTAGCGTCCAGGAGAGAGCAGAGCATGTCTTGGAGGCAGTGGAAGGGTAGTGTTGCTGTTAGCAAGATGAGATATTTGCATATCATGAAAATTAAACCACTAAATAGTTTCTGAGCGCAGCCACTGCTGAAGCTCACTGCTCCCCATGGGGATGGGTCAGATACATAGTAATTTCAACAGTGTGTGATGATGACTATGGGACTTAAACTTTAAAGCCTACTTCACAATGAAAGCATCAGCGGCGTGAAACCGCAGCGGAACGTCACTGCTTCAAATAGAATTATTATAGTCTATGGGGGTGATTCAAACCAGCCGCGACGAGGCAATTTTCAGGCCCCTCTCAGAATCAGCACGCTGCGCCGCTACAAATACAATCGAGTTCTATTTTTGACACAGGCTGCTTCTGGGACGCGACAATTTCCACAGTTAACATAGGGCTAGACAGGAAATCACACACGTTTCAGTGGAAAACCAATGCGATTTCATGTAGATTACATCAACACAAGTGACCTAACAGATTATTTACTCCGTGCATCCTTCCACAAGTGCAGCGGTGTGTTTTTCATGGCTTTGATCCTGGCAGTGGAGAGGAACAACATCACGTATGACATCAAACATGACTTCCTTCTTTTTGGTTTAATTGCAGATGGCATAAAAACAAGAGATTTTGTGATCTCGCGAGTTAAGCGAAGAGGATTGTGGAAGTATTGAGGGATTTTGTGATCTTACGAGTCGAGCGAGCAGTACAGCGGAGATAGCACTTCGCGGCTGAGACCCTCCCAGTGTGCACTGTCCTCGTCGTCTTCCTCCGCTTATCCGGGTCCGGGTCGCGAGGGCAGCATCCCAACTAGGGAGCTCCAGACCGTCCTCTCCCCGGCCACCTCCACCAGCTCATCCGGCAGGACCCCAAGGCGTTCCCGGACCAGAATGGAGATGTAACCTCTCCAACATGTCCTGGGTCGACCTGGGGCCTCCTGCCGGCAGGACATGCCCGAAACACCTTCCCAGGGAGGCGTCCAGGAGGCATCCTGACCAGATGCCCAAACCACCTCAACTGACTCCTTTCAATCCGGAGAAGCGGCAGTTCTACTCCGAGTCCCTCCCGAATGTCCGAGCTCCTCACCCTATCTCTAAGGCTGAGTCCGGCCACCCTACGGAAGAAACTCATTTCGGCTGCTTGTATCAGCGATCTCGTTCTTTCGGTCATTACCCAAAGCTCATGACCATAGGTGAGGATTGGGACGTAGATCGACCGGTAAATCGAGAAACTGGCTTTCTGGCTCAGCTCCCTCTTCACCACGACAGATCGGCTCAGCATCCGCATCACTGCAGGCGCTGAACCAACATCCATAGCCTTGAGATACCCAGGATGAATCTCAACTGCCCCCGGGGGCTCCGCCGCTGTGTAGTTGTTTGACTACCTCAGCAACTTCTGCCCCCGAGATTGGACAGTCCATCCCCAGGTCTCCCGGCTCTGGTTCCTCCTCGGAATAAGCATAGGTGGGATTGAGGAGTTCCTCAAAGTATTCCTTCCACCGTCCGACTCTAGCCCCAGTTGACCTCAGCAGCTCCCCATCCCCTATGTAAACAGTGTGAGCGAGTTGCTGCCTTCCTCTCCTGAGGCACTGGACAGTTTGCCAGAATCTCTTTGGAGCCGATCAATAGTCTTTCTCCATGGCCTCACCAAACTCCTCCCACGCCTGAGATTTTGCCTCAGCAACTGCCACTGCTGAACCCTGTTTGGCTATCCGGTACCTGTCTGCTGCCTCTGGAGACCCACAGACCAGCCACGCCCTGTAGGCCTCCTTCTTCAGCCTGAAGGCTCCCTGAACCTCTGGTGTCCACCAGCGGGTATGGGGGTTGCCACTACGACTGGCACCAGCCACCTTGCGATCACAGCTAGCAACAGTCGCCTCAACAATCGCAGAGTGGAACAAGGCCCACTTGGAGTCAATGTCCCCCGTTGCTCTCGGGACGCGGTCAAAGCTCTGCCGGAGGTGGGAGTTGAAGACCGTCTTGACAGGTTCTTCTGCCAGGCATTCCCAGCAGACCCTCACTATGCGTTTGGGTCTGCCAGGTCTACGCAGCATCTTCCCCTGCCATCTGATCCAACTCACCACCAGGTGGTGATCATTTGACAGCTCCGCTCCTCTCTTCACTCGGGTGTCCAAAACATACGGCCGCAAGTCAGATGATACGACTACAAAGTCTATCATCGACCTGCGACCTAGGCTGCCCTGGTACCAAGTGTACAGATGGGCATCCTTGTGTTCGAACATGGTGTTCGTTATGGCCAAACTGCGGCTTGCACAGAAGTCCAATAACGAAACACCACTCGAGTTCAGATCAGGCGGGCCGGGCCGTTCCTCCCAATCACACCTCTCCAGGTTAAGCTGTCATTGCCCACGTGAGCGTTGAAGTCCCCCAGCAGGACAATGGAGTCCCCTGATGGAGCACTATCTAGCACTTGTCCCAGGGACTCTAAAAAGGGTGGATACTCTGAACTGATATTTGGCCCATAAGCACAAACCACAGTCAGGACCCGTTCCCCGACCTGAAGGCGCAGGGAAGCTACCCTCTCATCCCCTGGGGTAAGCCCCAACACACAGGCAGAGAGTCTTGGGGCTAACAAAAAGCCAGCCCCAGCCCTCTGCCTCTCACCCGGAGCAACTCCAGCAAAGGAGAGTGTCCAACCCCTCTCAAGGACTTGGGTTCCAGAGCCAATGCTATGTGTCGAGGTGAGTCAGACTATATCTAGTCGGTACCGGTAAACCTCTGCCACAAGCTCCTGCTCCTTCCCCGCCAGCGAGGTGACATTTCATGTCCCAAAAACCAGTTTCTTTGTCCGGGGATCGGACTGCCAAGGCTCCCGCCTCGGTCTGCCACCCGATCCACACTGCACCGGACCCTTCATGTTCCTCCTGCGGGTGGTGGGTCCACAGTTGGATGAGCCCATGTATCCGGTTCGGGCCGTGCCCGGCCGGGCCCCATGGGCGAGAGCCCGGCCACCAGGCGCTCGCTCACGGGCCCCAACCCCAGGCCTGGCTCCAGGGTGGGACCCCGGTAACCCTCCGGGCTGGGTACTCAGACTCTTCTATTGTACATCCATGAAAGATCCTCTGAACCGTTCTTTTTCTCACCCTTCACCTAAGACCAATTTTTCATGGGAGACACTACCAGGGGCACAAAGTGCCCCAGACAACATAGCTCCTAGGATCATTAGGGCACTCAAACTCCTCCACCACGATAAGGTGACGGTTCAAGGAGGTGATGCGCTCCGCTGCTGATGCTTCCAGTGTGCAGTGGGGGTAACTTAATATTAATAAGAAAGACTCATAATCCTTCCACCCCCTCCACTCCTCCGACAAACATCTACCCCCCTGAAATAGAAAACAACTCACAAACCATTGATTTATCAAGACAAGAGCAGATTTATCGAAAAAAAAACAAAAAAGTGAATGAAAGCTTTAATGTAAACTTACGGGTGCATGGCATGTCTGCAGGGTCCGTTTCTGCCCGAAGGAACCCGGAGCGGCATGCACACGTGGACGCCCCCCTGATGGTGGCTTGGCTGGATCCTGGACAGCTTCTGCACTGTCCTTCTGTACCAGACTTGAACTGACCCACAGGACAGGCTGGAAATGACAGAGTAGAACATCAAAACACATTTTTTCCAACTTCAGACACAACTTTCTCTTCAAAAGCAGATTATGCAAACGGTCCCAGTCATAATGTCCTGGACAGACCTGGGTCAAACTCAATTTGCAAATACATCCCTTTATTTCATCGTGCTGAGGAGGCAGATGGCTGCAGATTGACAGTCAGAATTGTGTAATGAGGGCTATAAATTGAGACAATTACAGTAATGAGGCTGATACTAATAGTCAATTTGGTGAAAATAACCTGTCGGTCATTGACATCTGCCCATCAGTGGAGTTACCTGCACCGTGTTTGAATAATGAGACCAGACATTTGAAAGTCCTTGTGGAGAAAAAGCACCTTTGTTTAACGATTCTAACCTTGTTCAATCATTATAAAACTAAAATCCACTCAAACCGTTAAAAATAACAGAACTGAGTCTGAGCTGATGCTTCAAAGACTAGCTGAATAATAAATGACTCATTTAGTACCGATTCTGTCAAACACACCAAACCGCTCCTTAAATTATAGAAGATGTAGCTTCATCAGGTTTGAAATGCATTTTTCACAGCTTGAATAACTAGAAATAAATCCTGATAGCTGCAGCCCGAGTCTGAACCCACACTCCAGACTGCCCCGACCTTCTCCAACAGGTCAGCGAGTCGCTGTGACGCCACATAAAAGTCAAACTGTTTACATTCTGCGCTCAGAGAAGCCGTTCAAGCTCAGCTGCTTCGACAGAAGATTAAGATAATAAACGTTCACGCCGTCTGTCGCTCTGTTCTAATGAAAACTGACACACTTCTCAGGGTCGACGCTTGTCTGACTGATGTTTTGCCCACATATGAAAACAATTATTACTGTGGGAGAGTGCAGCTGCACAAGTCATTAGGTAGGATGGTTAATTAGGTCCAAGACACCCCGACAGTAACCGAGGAGTTCATCAACTCTTATGTGGAAATCCTAAGGTGGACATTTAATTCTCCCTGGTACAATAACAGAAACAACAACCATTTCCATGAATTTACTAATTTATTAACATAGAAAAAGTTTCAGTGCGACTGGCTCAACATTGGTGTTCATAACTAAATAAAGTTTAGGGGCCAGTTTCTCACCAAAGGGATGGAGACACAAAAACTGAAATGAAACCGGAACATTGTAGACGGATTCTCACAGTGTTGATACATCTTTTATAAATGATTGGGGGAGAGAAAGATGTAGCATGACTGCTGGTACTGTGGTTAAGGAACTGAGCTCCATGCAGGAGACCTGGGATCGATACCCACCTGTGGTTATAGAATATGTTGGGAGCCATGGCGGCTCAGGGGTTTGGAGTTCACCTTGTAATCAACGGGTTGCCAGTTCAAACCCCAGCTCCATCAGTGACAGCCGTTGTGCCCTCTTGAGCAAGACACGTCACCCACCTTGCCTGCTGGTGGTGGTCGTAGGGACCGGCCTGTGTACAGCTGCCTCGCCTCTGTCAGTGAGCCCCAGGGCAGCTGTGGCTACATTACAGCTCATCACCATCAGTGTGTGAATGACTGGTGTGTAAAGCGCTTTCAGAAAGGTGCTATTCACCACGGGAACGCTGTTGCAGTTGCAGCTCAGTGAGATACCAGCTTGTGTTTGGAAAACTCCAGTTTGCCATCGGTAAACATTAGTGAGGCGTTCAAACTTAAACAGATTAGTTACATGTTTGCCTGAAGCAACTTTTTAAACACATCGTTTAAAAGACTTTTCAAATGAGTTTTCAAGTTTTAGCACCTAGCTGTGGTGATGATTTACACGTACACGCAGGGATCAAATTACCAAAAGGGTGACGAGTTCCCCTGGAGTCCCTCAACTTACAAACCCAGAGGAGCCCGAAAAGAGGTCCTGGTTCTACTTATATCGGATTATTAATGTGGACTCTCCGGGGGGTTTTCTGAGCGGAGACGATGGAGAGCGCTGATCGTTGGTGCGCTCCAGGCAGCTGCGTCCTGCGCACGGCTACAGTAAAATTCTCAAAGTGTTGCCACTGCAAAAAATATATATTTACCACACGATTGTTTATGTGGCTTATTTCTTCTGGTGCTTTCTGTCTTATTTGTGCCTGATAAGCTTCGCTGCCGCGGAGCGCATCACCTGTCTTACGGTCTGGTGACTTCACCTCACTGGTGTGGGCGGTGCACACTCCGCTGTCTTTGCGGTCGGTACACCCCTTTGAACTGCTTAGTTCAAAACTAACTCATGAGGTGAAAATATAGGAAGCCAGGCAGCAGTTTTTCTGCAGGACTGAGGGGAGATGCAGGAAGATCAGAGACAAACAGGACTGAAAAACAGTCAAATAAAAACAAGAAAAGAAAAAGTGTTTGAAACGGGAAATGTAGGTACGTTTTTAACTTCTAAAGCAATAATTTATAAGCATGAAATATTTCTATATTTGATACAATTCTGATCACCTTCAAAACTCCCTCACTCAGGGCTGTTTCAAGACATTTCGGGGCCAAGGCAAAAATAAAGCCCCCCCGTCTCACTGGGGTAAAGACAGAGTAATGCATAAAACAGATTTGTTGATAAACGTAAGTAAACAAATACATGTCTGCTGTCGACACAAGCTACAGAATGGGACAAGAACAGCTTAAACATGTCTCAGATCATACAAACTCTTTGTTTTTACAGTCAAAATACATTAAACTTCAAGACCTGGTTCATTATCAAACTACTCAAATCATGTTTAAAGCTAGTAAGCACTTATTGCCACCTAATATTCAAAAGCTATTCAACCAGAGTGATGAGGGATATAATTTACGAGGGACTAACATTTTTTAAATGCCCAGGGTAAGAACCACTAAAAGGAGAATTTTGTGTATCAGACTGGCATCGCTCCTCTGTGAGAGTGGGGTGGAGTGGGGGGGCAGCTCCGTCCTGGAGCGCTCGTCGGTGAGAGCAGGGGTGGCACACGTTTCACTGCTGTTTCTCACCAGTATCAGCTGATGAAGGGCTCTAGTTTCGTTGGGCCGTTCGTGCCAGCTGACACGGTAGGGTCGGGGAGGAGGACGGGGCATGACACTTAGCCTGGAGGGTGGCCAAGCAAAGCCTGACGGGGCCGCCAGGCTTATAAAGTGCTGGGGAAAACCCTGTTATTGTTAATATTATTACTATCACTAGTACCACAAATGTTTACACAAAATGCTCTCGTTAGTAGCTGCATATATGTATGAATATGTATGTATGTATGTATGTATGTATGTATGTATAGATGGTAATTTGTAAAGTAAAGGTAAATTAGTAATGTGAGACAAGGGGTTGGGATTGAATAAGCACTTGCTTCTTCTTACTCCCTTTGGACAAAGACTTCTTTTTTTATTGGCATATATTTTCTTTTCTACTATGTTCATTGATTTAAAAACTATTTTGTCTTATGTTCAAATAAACAATTCAATCAATCAATCAAGCAATCAATCAATCAATCAATCAATCAATCAATCAATCATTCATTCATTCATTCATTCAATCAATCAATCAATCAATCAATCAACTGTCTTCTCTCACAGACATGTTGGGACTCCAGTAGCTATACCATCACCAAGACACATACAAACCTATTAAACAGAACAAACGGCCCGCTAGAGTTTTACTTCTAAGATCTCCTTTAAATATTCTAATCAAGCTCATTCATAACCCTAAATCCCCATGACAGCGTTCATAAGTTTTACATCGGGGTGCGCTTCAGACCGCGTATGTCTCAGAGAGATAATGGAATAACAGCAGAATGGATTTAATTCTAAACCTAGATGTCAATTTCGTTTTCTAAAATGACCAGCGTATGAGGCAAATTAACTGTCCAATCTCACCATGAAGGCAATTTCCCTTTATGGCCTCGCAAGTGTTTTTCCTCACAGCTCTCCTCAGTGACAGAGTGCTGGAAATGGTACTTCACCAGAAGCATAATGTTAGAAGTTATTCTCTCTTTTTTTAATGAAATCATTATACCTCCCACAGAGATCAAACTGAATCCTGCTCTCAAAGCAGACAGCGAAAAACACACTTTTCTGGAGAAAATCTGGCATTCCTTCATGTGTTTCTTTGTTCATTGTGCTAAGCATTTGTCCGTGTGGTGTGATGTGGTAAGTGTAAGTGTGTGTGTGTTGTGTGAGTGTGCACACTGGGAGTGTTTGTGCATGAGGCATGTTAATTGGACTCATTAGAAAGAGCGGCTGCACAGCTCCTCAGAGAATCATTCTGCTTCTTCTTTCTTTTCTTGTGTGCTTTTCTTTGATGTTCTCAAACTGATACAATCTCTACCCGGGGCACCACCTCCCTGCGTTGCACCTCTTCAGTCCTCCTCTTCTCCTTCTATCTCAGCTGAACCACGAGCCTCCGCAGTGGTAAGCCTTTGACCCCTCTCTTCCTCTTTGAGATAAGTGCTTCTCCAGACGACCTTTGCCTCTGTCCCCACTGTGTCACAACTGTCCCCCTGCCTCATTAACTTCCTGTGTCTCTTTTTCCTCTCCAACACTTCAAACCTGGACGAATCCCCCCATCTAAGCATTGTTTGCTTATTTAGTCAGCCAGCTCTGCTTGCAGACGTGGTTTTAGAGTCATTCTTACCTGTGCAACGGGTTTGTCCTTCAACTGGCTCAAATCCAGGCAGGCAGGCACAGGAAGTTGTGGGCTGCCCCACCCACTGGCCGTCTTCCCCACAGAAGAGCTTAGGCGGCCGAGGTCGGGGTCCCTGCTGAGCGGCGTGCTCCACACACGAACCCTGCGCCTCCTGCACCAGATAACGGGGAACAGTCTCAGGGAAAGAGGAGAGCGCGCTGATGAGGGGAGGACACTTCTTGAAAAAAACTCGAACAGACAACAGGGCCATGCAGGCGCCCTGGGACTGAAAAGCCAAGTAGAAACCTCTCTTGGTCAGAGGGCCCAGTCTTAAGGTCTTCACATTAGACTTCCTCTCCCCACCCTTCCTCAGGAGAAAGTCTGCAGCCACTGTGTCCACCTAGGACAGGAAGAAAGAAGAAAAGGTTTTATGTAAGGCCCAGATTCCATCACACAGGACCGAGCCTTGAAAACAGCCCGCGGTAGCTTTGCATCTGTGGGCCTGTTAAATCAGTTAACTGCAAAACTTTAGATTTCTGAGGCTTTCCCAAAACAAACCAGAGATTTCAGGAACCTTAATGAATAAAATAAAATCAAACATAATACATTATGCAACTTGAGAAAGTCTCTGCTAACTTATTCAGCCTCATTAGACAAATAAAAGTGAGCCAAGTTGACGAAAGATAATTATTTAAAAAACTTGTCTGATCTTGAACAGACTCTTGGCACTGAGTCGATCCCAGTCTACGGAAACAAAAGAGCTTTGACCAAACGAGAACCCGTAGAACATCTAATTCAGGAAAAAACTACACTGCAAATTTTTTTCCCTAAAATAAGATCAAATTAATTCTAATTTTTTGACATTTAATCTTATTTTTACTCTAAAAAGAAAATAAATTATTCCCTAGAAAAATAAAATTACTGAGGTAAATATGATCCACATGTCTTTGTTTTGTGTTAAAAAAAATAAAATCTGCTCATGGGGTAAGCAAATTTTGTTTGGCTAGAAATCTTACTGTAAAACTAGCAAAATTATCAAATTTTATATTTATTTGATAGTTTTAAGATTTCTAGCAGAGCTAATTTTGCTTAACCATTGGCAGATTTTTTTTTTACACAAAACAAGAACATTCGGATCATATTTATCATATGATCATAAGAATATTTACCTTATTTTAAGTAATTTAATTTTTCTAGAGAAGAATTTATTTTCTATTTAAACTAAAAACAAGATAAAATGTCTAAAAATGAGGATTTTTGTTTTTTACTTTCTAAGAAATCAGTTTTTGCAGTGTAGACAAAAGTCTTACTTGAGTTTTTGGCTCAAAGGTAAAGCAACACTTTCCTTAATGGAATGAAACAATGTGTGTGTAAGTGTGTGTGTTTAGCCCTTACCGCTTGGAAAACGACTTAGTGGTAAAAATATTGAGTTTGATTAAAGCAGGACAGAAAAAAGTAGTTATTTGTGATTGATTATTTCAGTCGTACACAAAAACCCAACACTTCATGATTACAGTTCCTCAATCGTGACCATTTCTGACTTTAAATAGTTGTTTTGAACAGTAAAATGAAAAGGTTTTTGACGATTTGTTTAAAAAAAAAACAGTAATCATGAATATTGATGTGAGCTCAGTTGGGTCAACATATTATTGGTGGATAGTGACTGGGTCTCCTCAAGCCAAGAGCAAAAGAACAAGAGTCTTTTAAAGTTGGAATGTTGTGTAAAATGTTCATGGGGCATTTTAAAGAGGACACGTTCCTAAAGTACCTTGGTGTAGGGGTTCTCCATCCAGGGTGGGTAGCTGGCCGTGGCCTCGTTTGAGTCAGCCTGGTAGTAGTACAGGTTGAACGTCTCTTTACAGCTGCGGTGGTGGGAAGTCCTGGAGGAACACTCCATCATGGTGAATCGCATCTCCACGTAAACCTGAGACGCGCCTCGTCTCTGGATGAAGCCGCTGCGCAGCCATTGGCTGGATAGACTCTCTGTTTGGCAGATCTGATAGGTCCTCACGCTGTTGTTCTCTTCATCTAAACCGCTGACTTCCTCCCACTGAGACTGAGCAGAAGAAAGGGTTGTCAAACGGCGAGTTAAAACAACACATCTGCCCCAGAAAACTTGTGAGCGCTTTTTAATTCACCTGTAAAGACAAACGCTTCCCCTACTTATGTGAATCGCAATGTTGCTGCGCTTCTTTTGTTGCTTTGTCAGAGAGTCGAGGGACACATTTGGCCTGCAGTGGATTTTCATCCAACCTAAATTTGAAATCGGGGTGTTAAATCATTCCTCCCACCGAGCTGCAGCACAGCTAGTGGGAATCCTAGTCTCCTTGTCAAACATGGCGTCCCAGACACAGCTCCTCACCCCTCGAACACTTTTACAAAATAAAATACAACGACAAACCCGTACGAGGGGAAAGCTCCGCTCAGAAACATACATTTACTCAGGATCCAAAGGAAAAACCCAGAAGCTTTAATGTTTGACTTCTGAGACAACAGTAAACATGTTCACCATCGCCGCGCTCCCTAGAGCGGGAATCAAGAAAGAAATTAACATACTTTGGGCAAAATTTAGCAGATCTGCTGGAGTTGGAGCCCAAGAAATCCAGTTATGTAAATATGTAAATCTTTGAAAATCCATTTGCACATGATTTGTGGAGAGAGGCGCAGAATACAGGTCTGCATGAATTACAGAGAGCAAAACACTCAGAGCCAGGTCTGAATCACTTAAAGGAGGAATTTCCCTTATAATCCTAAAAAAACATCAACACTGTGGCGGCGGATTTATCCGTGAGCAAAATGTTTTCTGTGATGAAGACGAGCGGCACACTCCTCTGGGATCGTCTGGGTTTCATAGATGTCGCTCAGAACCAACTCATGAATCTGCTCTGATGAGGGAAATCAGGTTTTTATGATGTGCTGATCAAACACCTAATATTATTACTGATATAATTATGTTTATTAGTATCACCATGTTTATCAAGCTTCACATGTCGTTACAGCTCTACACTTTACAGATCTAGATGCATTTTTTAAAATAATGTCAACATCTTCCAAACGTGTGTGTGTTGTTCAGTATTCACACAGGGAGGCTCACATAGCAGGAGGTTCAACTAAACACGGTAACGTCCAGCAATGGTTAGTTTTTAGGTGACCACTCAACATCTTGTCAAAAAGGAGACATGTGTCCCCTTTAAACCAGCCTGCCTTCATCCCATCAGCTGGAGCTCAGAGCCTGCAGCTCTGAACACAGATAATGAATTGTCAACATTAATGTTCTCTCCTCAAGGTCCAATCTTTCAGGATTCTTCATGCCTCCATATAAGGAACACTCGCAGCCTGGATTAGTTGCTAAATCAAGGACTGATTTCCTAAATCAGATATGAACTTCTACAACTTATAAGATAGATAGTCATTAAATAAACATTTGTTTATTGCTACTTATAATAATTATAATATAATGAAATGTTTAATTAATATGTGCTCAATGATTGAAGTTGGAAATGAATGTTATGTTATGATTACAGTGATTGATATATGTTTCAGCATGCTTATATGACAAGGTCATCACCACTTGCACTCACACAAGGACAAAGTAAGGTTAAGTTAAACTCATGACACATAAATAGTCCTTTTCCCCTGATCAGAGCATCCGGTATCAAGGAAGGTGTGTTTCTGAGATGTCTTGGTAATATTCCTCAAACTTGTCAACCTCTGGTTGGCTACACAAATCATAACATGAGAACATTAAAACCAGATTACTCTGGTGATTCCTCAGTTCTAGAGAAAGCTTCAGACCGGCCGCCTGAAGCAAAACCCTCTTTAACCCATCAAAGCTTCTGACATGTCGTCAAATCCTTTTTGCACCTGCATAGCTGATACAGCAAACAGTTCCTGCAGAACGAGCTGATATTGTTCCGACTCCTTAAAGAGTCCCAGACGCGCGGTTCCATCTGTCTGTCATGACCCGAGACATCTCTGGACTGAAGAGTCACTGCCACGGTATTCTTCAGCCCTCCGGTGCCAGAGGTCAGCCGGCCTCTCTGACCTTCGGGTCAACCAAGAGGATCTCCGAAAATGAGTGAAGTAGACACACAGATAGCGTCTGATGTGCTTTTGATAAGAATCAACTTCATAGCTTAACACAAACCAAATTCTTTTACATCCAGAACTCAGCTCTCCTAGATACAGAAGTTCTGACTAACATCGCATTCACACATAGGTTCATACATCACATTTAGTTCCATCCATCACAGTAAACGCTTAGTGAACTTGTCATGTTTTAATTGTTAGTAAAATAAATTCTTACTTTTATAAACCTGACTCTTTTCTGAATCAAAATGAAGTGTTTACAATGCCTTAGTAAATAAAGAATCCTAGAATCTTCTGATAAACACAGTAAAGACCAAGCAGGGTTGATATTCAATATTTGGATAGAGTGTCACAGCTTGTTGGCCATAAGCCATATATATATATATATGAATATATATATATATATATATATATATATATATATATATATATACAGAGAGAGAGAGAGAGAGAGAGAGAGAGAGAGAGAGAGAGAGCTCTTAAAGCACTCAATTTACCAAACCCTACAACACCAATAAAAGTCACTTTTTGAGCTTCCTGTGACACACACACACACACACACACACGCACACACACACACACACACACTGTTCACTGTGTGTCATTAAACCTGCGGCAGCTGGAACACACTGCAGGTTGATAGTGATTATTTCATCTAAACTACTGTTATTATCAGGTCTTTACACTGGAGCTTTGTTGTGTTGTATTTATTAGACATGAATTATTAATGAAACTATAAATAAAGGTATTTTTGAAACTGAGAAGCCAGAATAATGTTTCTGAGAGGCACATCTGCTATAAAAGCATCATTGTTGTTTCTGACTAAAAATAAAGAAGCATATGGTAACCCTTTTCTGTCTCGTGGGTTTTTGATGCAGACGACTCTTGGCGTCTTTCCACTGCTGCTTGTCATCAACGACTGAATTACTGTTTGTAGTCTTTTATGTTGAGGTAAAAAAAAAATCATCCACGTTTCTGACAAAACTGAGCTTTTGATAAGCTGCTTCAAATGATAATGGCTGTGTTAACTATTCAAGGATGTCAGCGTCTGTCTTGCTTTACAACTCAATCAAAACCACAAACATATTTTTCCTGTCCAGCCCCAAAGACCCCCCCCCACCCTCGAGCAGTCACAGAGACTGTTTTCCTTCAGCGAGGAAAGCAACTCCGATCACTGAAGCTGCTGGCAAAAAAAAAAAAAAAAAAAAAGCCTACAGCAACCACTCTTCAGCTGATCGAATTACAAATATGTCTTTTTCTGGCAGCAGGAACCAAAATTGTGGGCAGCCAGTCACTGCGACTCCAAGGTTGATGGGATATATCAAAGCATCTGCTTCCAATATACTTAAACGGCGCATTCGGCATGGTGTTTTCTTTATTCTGTCAGTTACTCACCATATAAGGATTGTGTTTATGAGCAAATTAACAAAGGGACAGCTGGAGGCCAAAGATCTGCAGTCAGCACTGGGTTTGTGTTTGGAATACAGATAAAGAGACGCTGAGGTTACATACCTCTGATTTGTCCTGCGAGAAGATGGTCCACTTGAGATCAGACGTTTCCGTCTTGGTGTTCATCAGGACCTCTGTGAAGGAGGAAAAAAACGGCACATTTAAAACTCATTTAAAATCAGAGAAACAAATCAAACCGACAGAAGGAACATATTTCAAGTCCCAAGTTCTCCGCCAAGTATGAGCTATGGCTTATACTGGGATTAGGGCAGAAGATGGAGTTTCACCAGTCAATTACATCTAGAAAGAACATTTCCAGCAGCCTCAAAATGGTCTTTCCTTCTAATGTTTGTTTTATTCCCAAAGTCCCCTCGGCTTCCAGCGACGTGCCGTGCCTGTGGTCACACCGAACCTGATGAGAGGAGTCGGCTTTTGTCCAGGGAGAGCAGGAACAAGCTCGGCAACAGAATCAACCAGGCTAACGCACACACACACACACGCACGCACGCGCGCACGCACACACACACACACACACACACACACGTGCCAAGATTTAAACCCTTCCGGTCACAATCTGATTACAATAGGATTGATTTTTTTGTTAGCTTTGAGAGGCAGCCTACCAGCTCACAAACAGCCTGAGCAGTTCTACAAGATTCAGCATCCCTATAAAATCTGAGACCTGAATTGAGTGTAACTGGAGACACGCTTTGGTTCTGGTGAAGGGACGTCTTCTCATCTGCTTCTCGTTCCAGCCGACTTGGCTCACCCCGACTAGTTTTTATGTCGGTGGGACGAGGATTCTGTCACAGAGCTGCGTTTATAAACCCCGTTTCCAGACGAAGCCTACGTTCAGGGGTGGAGCTTCGCTTTTGCCAATAAACAAGATTTAATGTGGTCTTGATCCAGGAGAGGGCCTTCATGAAAATTGATTCTGTGGAAGCTGGGGTGGTGTTTCACTGCAGGGTTATCACTGAGGTTATTAGGGTGCTCTGTTGAATAAGCTACATATATAAGGTTTGACAGGTAAGTCAGCATCCCACAGTTTCACAAACCACAACGAGAACGCTTCTTTTGCATTAAAAAACACATTCTTGCTATCTTGGTGAACATATTTATCAGAATCCCACCACTTTTTCCATCAAACTGCCTGATTTTAGCAGCGCATCAGATAAAAAAAATAAGCTGGTGCCTGAAATGGATGGAAAGCCATATCTAAAAAACACCAAACGTGTTCTGATTTCAGCTCCCTAAATGTAAAATTTCCTGATTTATTCTGCTACGCGAAGGCAATGCTTTAAAGCCCCGGCTTAAGAGTCGCGAGCATTCGTTTCAAATGATAGATTAAACAATAATAAAAAGGAATCATTAGTTGCAGCCTACAGTGAAGAAAATTACTTACATCTCAAATATTTTTCATGCCACATCCACAGATTGATGGCTTTGACTGTTAATGCGATAAACTCTGCTGCCAAAATCATTAATTCATGCTTACTTTGTCCGCTGAAGACGCACAGTACTTGTGCAGTACTCGTGTAGGTTTTACAAAAACCCAACAGCGCCTGTGGTTTAACCTTCCCTGTGGTCTTGTGTGACGTGAGGAGCAGTCCCGTCCAGCATGAACCTAGTCATTTTTAAATGAAGTACACATGAGGGCACACTCAGAGGCAAAAACTCAGATAAACCAGATAAACCGAACTTCCTGCTGAGATAACATTGGCAGTTTAAGCTAAACACAGCCAGAGACAGATGCTGGTTTACACAAATGAAAATACCGTTACTGTCGTTTGAGATCAGGCCCAGACATCTAGGATGTGCCTTCAGGGTTGGATTCAACACAAACATAAATACTGGCGAACTGCAAACACACCTCAGTTAGCTATAGAGGGAAATCAGGTTTTACACTGGATATTTAACTTAGGCGAAAAATGCTCTTAGGAGAACTAAAGTAAAGTGTTTTAAACAGAAAAAGAGCAGTTTCATGTATAAATAGATGACTACATGTTTCTTTTACCCTGTGTGCTTTACATGCCCTCAGCCACTACTCGTTCACTCATTCTAGTTTAATATTTTTTGGCCAAGAGCAACAGAAAAACAGAATTCATCCCTTTCTGTGCTCCCCTGTCGCTGCCGCACAGCTAAACGACTTAAAGCTTCCTCCCTGCGTTCCACCTCAAGAAACATTTTTTCATCTCATCGTCTGGGTGAGCTGTCTCATGCACGCTGCAAATGAAAGCAATGACACAGAGTCACTAATCATCAGCGCTGCACATGTAGCAGGTCTGTCATTGCATCACACCGCGAGGTAAAACGGTACATGCGATGTGACTCTAATCACCGACTTCTCCCTCAGCATTTCGTGCTGCTCTCATTTTGCTCTCTCTGTGGGTTTCTTCTAAAGAAACACCAACAAGCTTGCCTCTAAGCCTCTTTTACTTCAAAACCACAGAAGCCCACCAGCTTTATAAGAGCCATCTGAGAAGAAGAATAGAAAAATTCTACAAAAAGCAGAAGGAAAAGAGAAAAGTGGCGGGTAAAAGAGGATAATTGGGTGACAGAGTTCAGTTTGGTTCTTTCCTTACATTTTGTCTACTTTGAGTTCACTGCGGCATAATTTAAAAACACCTTCAACTCTTCGCCTTTGAGATGAACACCTGTCTCCGTGCTCGTAAGCTGATTGAGGTGTGGAAAGGGAAACATCCCACCCTCCACCCCCCCACCCCCCCCACCCCCAGGTACAGTAATCACTGTTTGTCACTGCTCTATCATTAAGCTTTATGAGACAGGATGCATGAGCACAAGTGTTTATATGAGACAGCGAGGGCTTCTATTATGTGCTTGCACGGCCATGCCTTTCACTGAACCAAACACGGTCCTAAGCCTCGTCAGAGGAAGCTGGCTTTTCCCCTACATTCTTTCAGCTGCGACGGCCACCCACCGCCGGAAAACTGCCCCGAGTGCAAGAAAATGTTGGAACAATGGAAACTCGTCATCTGGCTGCATTTAACACCCAAAACAAACGATTGTACAGTAATTACAGGACAGCTGTCAACATTAGGAGACACTAGAGGAGTCTAAACTGATATGAGACTGGCTGGGGGGCTACGTTTGAGTCTTGGAAATACAGAAGTGAAAACTATTACACATGGGTCTCAGCCGAGTGGAGTGAGGAGGACTGTGAAGCTAGTGGGAAGTTGGTGGGCTGGAGCATCAGTATTGGCTGGGTCTAGTTTTATTTTAATCTTCAAATCATGTGAGAAAAAAGTGTATTAAGTCTCCTTTCTAAAAAGAAGACTGAAAACTGGGCGTAGCACGGGAATTTCTCTAGAAATGTACAAACTGACCCATTTGAGTCACTTTCTGTTACAGTGTTTTTCAATTGCTAAAACTCAAAAAGCAAAAATGAGGCACAATTTTCAAAACCTCTACTTCTGTTCCCAATCGCTCGACTCAATGTATCACTACTTAAGATTTCCTTATATTAGAACTCTCCTTTCCTCCTTTACACTCTGATGTCAATTTTACATTACCTTGCTGTCAAAACACTGCACACAATTTTCAGGTTTACACACACTTCTCGCATAAATTCTCAAAGCTTCAATCAACAACACACAAATATTCAAATCTCTAAACTTTCGGGTCTGGTGAGCAATTTGCAATCAAGGACTGCAGCATAAAAGTAAGTTTCCACAAGGCTACCCAGGTGTATGAGTGGTTTCAGGACCACCCACGGTTTTCCATTTTATACCTTCCACCTTATTCCCCCTTCCTCAATCCCACTGAGGAGTTTTTCTCAGCCTGGAGGTGGAAGGTGTACGAAAGGAATCCACAGAGCCAGGTCCCACCGCTTCAAGCCGTGGAGGAGGCTTGTAGAGATGTGGCCTTTGAGGCCTGTCAGGGCTTCATGAGGCACTTGAGGCGGTACTTCCAGCGCTGTTTGGACCAGGAGGACATTGCCTGTGATACTGATAAGGTCCTCTGGCCAGACAGAGATCAGAGGCATGATGCCCCATGATTATGCTTGAATGGGGGGGGGGGGGGGGGGGGGGGGGGGTAACTGTAAAAATAAAATGTTTTGTCCCAAAATTTGTGTGATGTCTAAAGTTTGTCTCAGAGAAAAGTGGGCACTGTCATACAGTCAGTGTGTAATTCATTGTGTTCCATTTAGACAATTGTGTTTTCAGTTTTGCTCTTCAGTGTTCTTTCCATGCTTGGTAGTGTTCACCCAAAGGCTACTTGTGTTTAAGCAATGAATGGTATGTGTGTGTCATGTGAAAATGTGGCTGAACACGCGTTCCATTTTGGGAACATGTTACGATATGTGATGGCAGGGTTTTGTTGCAAAGGGAAGCCTCGATTTAAGAATTTGTGTGTTATGTTTGGGGTTTTGTGTGTGCAGTTTTGAAAGAAACGTGTTTTAGCAATCGAAAAAAACTGTAATAACATTCATCATCCTTCGCTTGTATGTTCATTTCGCGTGCTTGACAAGGCTCTCCCCCTCCTCATTTCTACTTTCATCGTGGATCTGGAGTGTGATAGGGAAATAATAGACCTATGGACACTTGGCCTGCTTCAGCTACAATTAGACCTTATTTTAATAAAGAAACAGAGTGCCAATTACCCTCATGCACCTTAGAGAAATTGAGATGGGGGATAATGACAGGGAGGGATCTAAGACAGGGAAGAGATGTCAGGGGATGTGTGATTAACAGTTAACGAATGTTTAAAAACTAAATGGGCTGTGTCTTTTCTGATGTTAAAGCTGCACCCAGTGGACCATTTACACTGTTTCTGCACACCTAGTACTTTATTTCTGTATTACGTTGTGAAATCTGTACAACTTTCTATTTCAAAATGAAAGAAAACAGCAACCTTTGATCATTGCGACCACCAAAAATAATAATTTTAGCAGTTTTGCAGGTGCAGTCTTATGAAAAAGAATTGGAAATCAACATATAGTGAAGAAGAGGAGAATACAAAACAGCAACCATTATCGGCATTGAAACTCGCTCAGTGTGAACTCTAGAGAATTACCTGGTGTATTCACACATGGGATCAACCAGGAATTATCTGCACTTTACACTACAAAGGTACTGCAAAAACTCTGAGCTGATTCACACATTAGTATTCTAAC